CATGACCGAGCAATTTTCTTTTACTTACCGAAAAGGAAGTCCCAGCTTTATCGGCCGGAAGAAAACAAGTCTTCAGCATAAATCGGAACCAATTCAATTGAAAAAACAAGGTAAAAACATAAAGACATCCGAATGGAGTAGAAACAAATTCATTAGTCAAAGCGGCACTGTTGGCCGGAGGGTACAACCTGGTATGGCCCATTCGGCCCAAAAAGAATCAAAAACACAACAAAAAATACCTTATATCTATACATCATCTAACAAAACAGATGTATGAGCAAAAGGCAAAAAATACTACAAGTGCCTAATCAGCCTGAGTTGTCTGTTCGGTCTCCTCGTCGTCATTAACGGTCGTCCCAGGATCCTCTACGGGGGCCGATCGAGGCGGTCCAACTTCATCCGACTCAAGGTTGTCGGGGGCATCATCAAAGTCCACAAACTCCCCTTGAAAGAAGTCCTTGCTCAGCGCAAAGGAAAAGTTAAAAACATAAAGACATCCGAATGGAGTAGAAACAAATTCATTAGTCAAAGCGGCACTGTTGGCCGGAGGGTACAACCTGGTATGGCCCATTCGGCCCAAAAAGAATCAAAAACACAACAAAAAATACCTTATATCTATACATCATCTAACAAAACAGATGTATGAGCAAAAGGCAAAAAATACTACAAGTGCCTAATCAGCCTGAGTTGTCTGTTCGGTCTCCTCGTCGTCATTAACGGTCGTCCCAGGATCCTCTACGGGGGCCGATCGAGGCGGTCCAACTTCATCCGACTCAAGGTTGTCGGGGGCATCATCAAAGTCCACAAACTCCCCTTGAAAGAAGTCCTTGCTCAGCGCAAAGGAAAAGTCTGACGGGAATGTGCCAAAATGATTGGCCTGCCGAACAACATGCCAAAAACCTTCCTCATGCTCCTTCACAATCTTGCTCTCGCATTCGGCCCGGAAGGAAGCCATGGCAGCATCGGCTTCGGCCTTCGCTCGCTGTTCCCGAGCGGTGATTTCCTGCACCTCTCGGACCCTCATCTGTTCAGGATCCACTCTTCTGGTCTGCTAACTGCTTGGCCAATTGTCCCACTTGAACCTCCAAATTTTTAATTGAAGCATCTGTATTCTTTTGATTTTGGAGGGATAATTGCATGAATTGCTGCAAGGTATCTTCTAGCTTGGTAGTTCTTTCATACAACGGTGGGTGTTGTTGTTGTGGAGGGTGAAGTCTACTACTTGATGCACCCATGTCTTGTTTCCCTCCAAATTGAGCATTATTGTTTCTCCACCCTTGGTTGTAAGAGCTAGGATAAGGATTGTTAGGAAAATTTTGGCGTCCTTGGTTCCCCATATAATTGACTCGGTGTCGGTTGAGGAGGATCCTCGGCATGAGGTGTCGGGTCAATTGCCACGCTTCAATGGTCGTCAGCGGAAGTCCCGGCAGGGGCCCGACTCCTCATCAATTGCCGATACGACAGTCCCAGACCTTGTTGCGCCATCCAGCCTGCAAAAAACAAACAGTCACACATCAACTTAACAAGAACGACCAATCGACAATATTAAAACGTACCCTCTAAATCATAACGAGGCCGGGACGACTTGGGCAGCAGCACCAGAAACCGAGAGGGTATGCACTTCGACAATCCTTTCAAGACATCTAAGGTCGACAACTCAGCATCGGTCATCATGTCCTCCGAAAAATCATCATATTTCCGAGGCTGCTGGGTCCAGTAAAACAGAAAAAGGGGCTTTTGCTCGGCATCGTAAAAATAATTCCGGCCGGCAACAGGGTCTATGATCACCTTCACAAACCCCGATTTAAAACCCTTAAAAGACGAGGTAAAAGGCTTCAACAATGGACGGTCGGCGTTCCGAATTAAAGAAAGCCACTTCACGGTTTTATTTGAAGGACGAGTACAGAAAAAATGTAAAAATAAACCTACGGTCAGCTCTATATAATGGTATTTACAAAGTACCCTAAACGCTTGCATATACGCCCACGCGTTCGGGTGCAACTGCGTCGGCGCCACGTTCAGCACACGAAGGACCCCCATCTGAAAGTCGTCGAAGGGGAGCGACATGCCGAGCTCTTGGAAGAAGCACTCGTACATGTAAAAGAAATCTCCCTGACCCTCCTGCTTCGCAAGAAAAACCAGGTCAAGCCCCCCAGGGCCTTCGGCCCGGCATCGACGCAACATTATAGGATACGGATCCCAGCCTTCCCATCGGCCCAAAGTACAAAGGCTAAGGAGCCGAACCACGGCAGCCCTCTCATAAAAACGAGAGTAATACGCCGCCACCTCCCCATCGACCCACTCATACCCCGGGATCTCACAGGGGGGGGTATTTCTGCCTATAATCCCCAGGACTCATTTCGATGTCGGGTAAATCCGACCCGAACGAAGAACTACCCGATTCCCCGCTACCGCCGGATGCCGATTCCTTAAGACCCTCGACTGCTTCCACCTCGGCATTAAAGGCCAACATCTCGGCCTCGGCATCTTGCGCCGAAACCCTAGCACTGGCCGACGACCCTGATGACAATGTATACAATTACAATCTTTTAGCCCCTGTTTGCTTCCACGAATTTACTATTCACGACGAAGGAAAGACGAAGAAAAGGGGTGTTCGTTTCCAGTGATTTGCAACGACGGAAAGGCGAAGAAAAGGGAGGAGGGGCGTCGTGGCCGTCCTCGCATAAAAGCGAAGAAAAGAGAAGAAAGCCACGTAGGATTTTCGCTTACCCAGAAATGCCCCTATGCCATGCAGCAGAGGAAGCATAATCGATTATGGTTGGTCACATAATCAATTATGGCCTTGCATAATCGATTATGTGGCCAAGCATAATCGATTATGCTGGGGTATTTTCACTTGTAGTGGAACCCAGAACGATCCGTTCTAAAAATGAATTTTTTGAGCAATATGCGAACTCAGAACGAGTCGTTCCACTTTGGGAACGGGCCGTTCCATTTTTGGAACGGGCCGCTCTGGGTAGCAAATTTTGGGATGAGAAATGAGTCCAGAACGGCCGTTCCAGATTCGAAACGGGCCGTTCTGGCCACATTAATTACTTAATAAATAATGATTATTTAATACTCTTTTTCATATATATATATATATATATATAATATTAATATTTAATATATAATACCTTAAATTAAATATAATTATTTAATATTAATATTTAATTTATATATATATATATATATATAAATTAAATATGAAAATTAAATATTAATATTTCTATCTTCTCACTTTTATATATATTAAAGTTCGGTTATCTATTTTTAGGGTTTATTGTACATTTTTTTTATATTAAGAAAATTCTATTATTTAAATATTGACATTAAAAAGTAAAAATATAAAAAAAATAAAGTAATACATGTTTATAAAATTAAAATAATAACACTTTCATAAACATTAATAAAATAATGTTACAAAATATAATTATCATAATATATTTTGTTATTATTATTTATTATTATAAATATTATTATTTTCATTTTTATTAATATTAATATTATTTTTTATTATAATTAGTATCATTATTATTTATTATGATTCTTATTATTTTTCTAATATTTATTATTATTCTTATCATTATTTATTATTTTTTTAGTAAATAAACCCTATTAATATAATTTTATTGTAATTATTATTAATTACAATAAATAATATTATACTCATTTTTAATCCAAGGGTAAAAGTGTAAATTATATATTCATCTCTTAAATTTTTATTTTTTATCTATCATTAAATTTAAAGCAAATATTTAAATTAATTTATTTTTAAATTAATTTTTTATAATTTTTTTAGTTAAAATTTATATATTTATCTTTTAATTATAATAATTATAAAAAAAAATTTAACCTAAGGGCAAAATAGTAATCTTACACAATTATCAATTAAAAAATTTATTTTTATCTATCACATCAATCAATTCACTCACAAACTTTCACAAACTTTCTCTACACTTTCCACTCACTTTCCCTTAATCCAAACAACCCCACTTTCCACTCACTTTCCCTTCAAATCCCTCCTTTTCCACTCCCCCTTTTCCATCCTCAAATCCAAATAAAGCATTAAGGACTAAAATTACTAAATTAAAATCTTGGGGACCAAAATTGCACAATTTTTATACTTAAGGGATCAAAAATGCAATTAAGCTCGTATATATATATATATATATATATATATATATTATTCAACAAAAAAATAATGATATTTAGACATTTAAATAATTGAAACACTTTTAATTTTTCTCTTTCTCCCTTTTTGTGTGTAATAGACTATACACATCATTAATTATATTAATTTGTCATATAACTTTTTTTATTCATGAAAATAAACAAATATAATTATTTTGTATTTGATTTATATGGAACAAAACATATAAGATAGAAAAAAAACAAGACAAAAATTTAATTTTTTGTAATTGAATAAATCATAAGACAACTTTTTCTCAAAGTATGGAAACACTTATTAATATAATATTGTACTAATATGATCCCAACTCTTATCATTATTGTTCAAGACCTTTATCACTATTGTCAATTATCACGGTTGTTGTAATCTATCACTATCGATGTTGTCACTCACATAACCTGATCTCTGTCATCATGGTTGTATATGTTACTACTACTTATATTAATAGTACCAATATTATTGTAGTCAACATAATTTTAGTTATCATTATTTTATTTATATTATCTATTATTTTCAGCAAACAATGTAAATATAAAAAATATTGTCTAATAACCTAAATAATTATTCCATGTTTACCTATTCTTTTTGTTCCATACGTAAATGTGTATCAAGCCTATCTTTAGAGACTTTATTTTATCAATCTACTTATGAATTATTTTTTGTTTTTTTATTTTATCAATCTACTTAGAGAGAGAATTTACAGCAACTGGTTCAACCAACTAAACTAGTTACCTTGATATATTTATGTGGTGTCTTGCCATTTTTCTAGGTTGAGACATTTTTGGGGTGTCCAAAATTTTGAAGTTGATTTAAAGACTGTAGCAGCGTAGATATTGGAATTTTGCCGCCCATTTTGAAAGGAAACCCTGGCTTCCATTTCTCACAAAAGTCAGTCGCAATTGCAATTGCAAGCAACACAATGAGTGCTCCCATGGAGACGGAGCTCACAACCCACGAAAATGGCACTGCTAGTGCTTCCCAACACTCTCTTCCCGAGGACAAAGTACTTGTCCCTGGTACGCTCCCTCTTACTCTCTTTACCCTACGCATTCCCATTTCCCACCTTACTCTTTCTTAATTCTCTCTTATTTTGCTTCTAGTCGAGGTATCCCTAAAACCTTCAAGCACAGCTAGAATTCAAGATGTGCGTTCCGCCATTGAGAGGTAACCCCTTTCCTTTCTTCGCTGAATTGCAAATTAAATGTTTTTGTGTTTTTTTTTTGCCAAATTGTGATTATCGCTATTCTCGTTCGGGGATTATGCTTTTCCGAAATTTACCTAATCGAAATTCATTACTTTTATATGGCGTGTTATTGATTATCGCTATTGTTGATGTTTTTTCAGGATGCTTGAGAAGAGGAGTTTGAGCTACATCGATGGGCCCATTCCGGTGCCTATTGATGACGCGTTTCTTGCAGACAACGTGCAAAGGATTTGCGTTTGTGGATGTGATACTGGTGCGTGATTTGTTGGTTTAGGGTTTAGCAGTGGCGAAATATGAAATTTGATTGACTTATTTTTTTATTTTTTAATCTGAAATTGCATAAAGAATTTTGGCCTCATAGTTAGTTGAACTGAGTGTTTTAGTAATTAGCATGACAAAATAGCAGATTATGGATATCTCCGAGAGAGAAAGATTTACATCTGCTTTTCTGATTCTGGTGAACTGTATTTCTTTTGTAGATGAAAGGATGCACAATGGTAATGTCCTTTTGTTCTGGCAAGTCAAGCCTGTTGTACATGTCTTTCAGGTGATACTGCTTACTTGATTTTATTGCCTATGTGTTGGTCTTAGTCTCAGTCTCAGTCTCAGTCTCAGTTTTACTTGGTTTCCATATGCTTGTTTGACTAATATGTGATCTTATGAGTATGAGAAAAGATAGATTTAGCTCCTTTAAAGTGAGGAGAGGGTGCATTTAAAAAACCACAGTTGTAATTATTCTAAAGTGCATCTCTGATGTCTGCGAATATTTCTTTGTCAGCTTAATGAGGAGGGACCATGTGAGGATATAAGCTCTGATGGCCAGTCTTCCAGCTTCAATGAATGGATGCTTCCTGCAAAAGAGTTTGATGGCATGTGGGAAAGGTTACTACTTTGTAGTAGTTTATGCTTTTCCTTGACTAATTCTATACTATTGTTTTTTTTTTATGATTAATTATAAAATGCTAAATCATTTGCCCTGCACTATTAACCATTTTCTTTGCAGCCTAATATATGAGTCTGGTCTAAAGCAACGGTTATTACGTTATGCAGCAAGTGCTTTGCTCTTTACTGAAAAAGGTGTTGATCCATTCCTTGTTTCATGGAATCGGTAAGAACTGGATATATTTGTTTTACAATTGCATGCATGATCTTGCCTGGTAGACAATATGCATAACGGTTCTTCATGATATACTAAGCAAATTCTGGACATCTGAAGAGTAACTCAATATAACTACTGATCGAGCTTGACATTTGTTTATAGACTTGCTTTAAAATCCTCGAAGAGAAAAAGTTTACAGTGTATGGAACCATGATAAACAAAGAATTATTTTCAAAATCTATTGAATTCTTTGCAAACCTTAGAAATTGACAGAAGAACTGAAATATTATAACCAAGGAAGGTGAACAAGAACATTCTGATGGTGGGCCTATAATTCTTCTTGCACTCTTTAGAATCTGACTCTGCTGAAAGTGAACAATTTACAACTAAATAATATCAGTAGGCTATTTTCTATATAGAAAATTATAAAAAAAAAGCATGTTTCTTATCTTCTTTTTGATCTAATTTTAGTGCAGTTTAAGTAAAATTGTTTAGAGAAACAATAATGGGAAGTTTATCTTTAAACTTGAGTGAGATGATTGAACTATGAACATATTTTGATATTTTTTAGACTTAAATATTTGCAGCATAATTCTGTTACATGGACCTCCTGGGACTGGAAAGACATCTTTATGTAAAGCATTAGCCCAGAAATTATCAATTCGATTCAATTCGAGGTGCATTGATCTATATTATCAATACCTTTTCAATAGTCTATGGAAACAAGTAAATAATGAGAACAAAAGTTAACTTTCTTTTTCCCCACTCAGATACCCACAGTCCCAGCTTGTTGAAGTGAATGCACATTCTTTGTTCAGCAAATGGTTCTCCGAAAGTGGAAAGCTGGTATGCATATATGCCTTTATGCTTCTGATTCTTCTGTCTATCATATATTGGCTTATTTGCTTTTCTATAATTCACATTTCATACTCTTATCACATTTTGCTTTCATTCGTGGGTTTGACAATCAAGTTTAGGGTTTAGGGTGCTAAATAATATGCTCGAGACATTGATTCCTTATATTTATCATTGCCACCTTCAAGTTGATATCAAGTGGGATCAAAGTATACTTTGACTCATGCTAGGAACACCCACTATTTGGTTGCATAAAATTGTATTCAGGAGATTTGAACTTTCTTTATTTATCCCTAAGGATAGGGGGCAAGAGTCAATATGACTTCGAGTTTGGATAGTCTTAAAAGATATTTTCTTATATCACTAAACAAAATTATTCGTATAATCATACCTTCACATGATGGATATGGATTTTCTACTTGACATATTCACTAGAGCAGTATGAATCTGGAAAGCATACTTAATTATAAATATCCTTTTTCTCATCTTTCACCTGGACTCGGTATTATTGTTTGTGTGATGATGAGTCATAGTTCTGACTTTCCTTGGGAGGGTATTTAGTGAAAATAGGTTCAACTATAGGACTTTATAGAATTTTGAATCAAGAGGTTAATTAGTCAAATTGTGAAATTGCCAACCATAACAATTCCGTATACTAACTTTGCATGAGCTGTTTTTGTATAGTTATCGAATGGGTAATTGTGTTTCTTTGTTCTACCAGGTAGCAAAACTTTTCCAAAAGATTCAAGAAATGGTAGAGGAAGAAAGCAATCTAGTATTTGTATTGATTGGTGAGGCATAACAGGATAAAATTTAACTTATTGCTGATGTATTATTGTCGTAAATCTGCTTCAGTATATGTGCTTATGATCTGCAGATGAAGTGGAAAGCCTTGCTGCTGCTAGAAAAGCTGCTTTATCTGGTTCCGAACCTTCTGATTCTATTCGGGTAAAATCTACTCCCATTTCTATTTGCAGGAATAAACTCCCTCACTATTATCTGAAAATGTTTTATATTGTTGCAAAAACATGTAAAAATGTAATTCAGAGGTATTGGCTTTTATTTTTGGGCGTTTGTGTGTTAATACAAGTTTAATCTGAATACGGAATTTCAGGTTGTCAATGCATTACTAACTCAGATGGACAAGTTAAAATCATCTCCAAATGTGATAATTTTAACCACGTCCAACATAACTGCTGCTATAGGTAAGCCTTAATTTCTTATTTATTCAATTCTGTGGCTTCTTCCCTTGTAAGCTATGGCCTGCCCTGTTCCATAAATTTGAATAGTCAGATCAGTTTAGCTTATAAATAATAAGTCAATCTACTTTACAGGCGAAAAACTGTAGATTTAACTTCCCAGTATGTATATGTTGTGAATTTATTTTATTGTCATAATTCACGGTGAAATTGGTAGCCAGTACTATGTATAATTCTTTTTCCCTCGCCAAGCACCTGTTTGGCGGCATCAAAGTTAAATTGCTATAAAATAAAGCAGACTTTTGTTGCTAGCATCATCACTAATACCCAGATCTGAAATTAGCATCACCCCAATATAAAACACATCACAACAAAATCCTTTTCGCACTAGGTGGGAACATCACTCCTCTCAAATGTCTTGATAAATAGTTTATTAGTATCCACTTCAAATTTCATTTAACACGCATGATTTCACATGTTGCAAATCATACAGATTTATCAATTTTATTGCAGATATTGCTTTTGTAGACCGAGCTGATATTAAAGCATATGTTGGTCCCCCAACTCTTCAAGCTCGGTATGAAATATTAAGGTCCTGCTTGCAGGAACTGATGCGTTCGGGGATCTTGACTAGTTTACAGGTGCAGAGAGTTTTCAGTCTTGTCCAGCTATCTTTACAAACAAGGCTTTAATATTCTAATATTTATTCCGATTCAGACAAAAAACTTTATTCAGATTCAGACATTTTGGCTTGTTAGTCTTGTGGCTAATCAATCATACTGACTTGGTTAGGATTGTAAGAATGTCATGCTTCCAAATTATGCTAGTGCAAAGGATAGGTTGAACGCTCCCGCTTTTCATGAGGGTGCTACATTAATGCAACTGTGCAAGCAACTACTTGAAACTGCCGAAGCATGTGAGGTAGGAAATGAATATATCTTGTGGATGTTGAACATCGATCTTTGGTTGACCTTTAGTCTTAGCTGATGTGTTTGATCTGTTTACAGGGAATGAGTGGAAGGTCTTTGAGAAAGCTTCCGTTTTTGGCACATGCTGCACTTGCAAATCCTTTTGATTGCGACCCTATTAAGTTCTTATGTACAATGGTAGAAACAGCTAAGAGGGAGCGTTCTGAGCTTCCTGACTAAAATAACTAAAAATTCATTTTAAAATGTGTAAATCAAAAGTGTAAGGATTGCTTCTACTGCATTTTAGTGATAAATGTTGATGCAGCAGCAATGATTATTTATTATAAGCAATTATCATGGCTTAGTACATAGTCGCAGTACTAAAAATGGCTGATCCTAGAGAGAATAGCATCTTGTTTGGAAAAGCAATAGATCTGTTATATATTAATGGGAACGGCAAATTTTAATCATAGTTTAAAATAAATAATCAAAATTAAGAGATAAATATACATGACTTTTTCTCCAATAATTTTATGGAAAAAATAGTCTCTTAAAAAAAAGCATCTTGTGACTTTTTACATCTTATGATTTTTGATGAAGAATTAGTCTTATGACTCTCAATGAAGAGTCATATTTTATTATTCTTAGTGTCACGTCTCAGCTTGTCATTGATAAACTTAATTTTATAAAAGGATACGACATTTCATAAATTTTTAAAACCCCTTACAATTTCTAAGGATAGTGTTTGATATATGGCATTAATTGTGTTATGAATTATGTTAATTTTAATTTCAACCATTTATTTTATTTCATTGGGAGAGATAATTATAACGTTGGAGGATATAAAAGTTTCAATTGTGCTGTTTAGATTGTTTTTCAAGTCTTTGGCAAAGGGTAGCCGATACTCCATGGATGAGGTATTTTAGGAAGAATGAGAGCCGTATAGAGCATAGGATGTTCTTGTCATTCTGGTTGCTGAGGTTTGTTTGGCTGACTTCACATTACACAAAATCATTTTGATAAGTATTTTTTCCTTCTATTGTCATATATATATATATATATATATATATATTTTTTATACTGCCAACTAATTATATCTTTTAAATTATTTTATTTTATTTTTATTTTATTAAATAAGCAACTGACATGATACTATTAAAAGATATGATTGGTTGCTACTGTAAAAAAACTTTACACTGACAGTGTATAGGTAATTAACTTACATATATATATATATATATATATGTGTGTGTGTGTAAAGCAGCTAAGATAACTTTAGCACTTTGTTTTCACAAGCATTTATAGATAAGACTTCAATTTATTAAATAACAAAATCAAAGCTATTACAAATGTTTATTACTTTCTTCTCTATTTTTTTTCTTTTATTTTGTTCAACTACAAGTTGTTAGCTGTCATGTTATTTATTTATTTTTTTTCCAAAGATGACGATTGGAGAATGGTTAGCGGAGGCAAAATGATTCGAGTTGGATTGATGGTTTAAGTAATGACACTTGACTTAGTATTCATTATATAGATGTTAAATATAATGTTTGACTAATTTTTTTTGTCCGACTTTTAATTTTTAAGTATCCATATTTTAGTCAACCAAAACATGGATGCGATTGCTTAACATTTAAACCCTGTAACCTTAGATAATTGATGAATGTAATGTTGACACTAATGCCGATTAAGCATTTGTTTTCATATTTCAACTTTAGTTAATTTCTTGTTATAATTGGTTAATGAATATTTTTTAATTTTGTTTTTACTAATGTTAAAGAACAATAGTTTTAACATAGAAAAATTATTAATAAGGAAAATATGTTGCTTTTGATTTAAGTAGACAACTCACTCAATGACTAGTTTGTGTTGTTTCAGTCGCAAATTATACTCTATTTACTTGCTTAATTAATAATCTATTTGATTTGAAGAAGCAGAGGAAAGACTAGAAATTTTAATGGAAGGAGAAAGGAGGAGAGAGATTAAAAATTATGTTTGAATAAAAGGAGAGGAAGGGAAGAATTTTAATGAACGAGAGAAGAGAGAACTTTTTTTTTTATTTGGTTCAGAAGAGAAGAATGAAATTTTAAAAACTAATTTACGTTTGTAACGTTATAATTTTAAAATTAAAAATATAAGTAAGGATATTTATACATTATGCTTAAAATGTTTTAAAACCCCTTGGAGGGAAGTTAAAATTAGAAGAGGGGGGATTTTGCTCTCCTCTGTACCCTTTCCCCCTTATCCAAAAAATTGAATAAAAAAATTATAAAAACCATTTCCTTTTCTTATCCTCCCCTTTTCTTCATATCAAACTCTACGTTAATGAATTTTTGATTTGACAAGTGAAATTAGATCCATTGATTATCCAATTTTTTCAACAATCCTGTAGTAATCTTCAGCATGGTGACTTTTAAGAGGATAATAGTATGAAATAGTAATTGTACTTAAAGAAAATCGAGTGTCTTTTAAACTTCTGTCAAAAGTCGAAAACTTTCTTTTTCCCTTTCTTTTACAAGCTCCGAGATCCTCTAGGTGAATGGGATATATACAACGACACTTTGACACCCTTGTTAGATGAATAATAATGTTTTAGGTAAGTAGTGTAAATGTGTAATCAATGTCTACATGATGATTAAGTCTTCTCTTTTTATTTGCAAAGAATACATTACACATCATTAAGAGTCATAACGGTGACATTTATCAATTATTATTAATAATTATATAAGATGTTATCTCATATTCCATTAATTATTCGACCATATATGGTACATAAGCCCACACGCCTTGAATCCATGGAAGAAGATATTTAATTGTTTAAAGCACATCCACAAACATTTTAATCAAAATCTTGTAACTTTTGTTTAACATGTCGTGAATGATTAAACTCTATTAATATAAGTAGTAGACACCTTCTTGATTGAATGAAATTTTCTTATTAGAATGAATTGTCAAAAATAATTAACTGAAATTTATCAAATGAAAATTTTATATCGTCAATTTGACCAAGATTTTACGATTGGATTTTATACATGGAAATCTCCATATGAGAATGTTTACCTAGATGAGATCTTATTTACCAAGATTTTATACTTAAATTTTAACTTCCATATAAGAGTGTTTACTCGGATGAGAACTTGCTCGAGGGAAACTTACTAGCCAAGATTTTATACTTGGTAATATCTATCAAAGAACTTTTACTTAGATGAGAACATGTTGGCATCTCAAATGATAACTTTTCGGCTAAGATTTTATGCTTGGAAACACCCATATGAGAGCATTTACTAAGATGAGAACATGTTGATATATCAAATGAAAGCTTCTCGACCAAGATTTTATACTTAGAAAAATTCATTTAAAAAATTTTACTTGGAGGAGAACATTTTGGCTTCTTGGATGAGAACTTCTCGACCAGGATTTTATACTTAGAAACATCCATCCGAGAATGTTTTACCTAGATGAGAACATGTTGGCCAAGATTTTATACTTGTGTATCCATCCAAGAACATGTCAACTTCTTGGATAAAAACTTGTCGTCCAAGATTTTGTACTTGGTAAAATCCATTCAAGAATGTTTACTTGGATGACAATGTTTCGGCTTCTTGGCTGGCTTGTCGGCCAAGATTTTACACCTGGAAACATCCATCCAAAAGCATTTACTAACAAGTTGGCATCTTTGGTGGGATCTTCTCGACCAATATTTTATAATTGAAAAAATTCATTTGAGTTTTTTTTATTCGGATGAGAACATGCCGACTTTTCAAATGGGAACTTATCGACTAAAATTTTATACTTGGAAACATTTGAGAATATTTTATTTGGATAAAAACATGTTGGCCAAGATGTTATACCTGAAAAAATCCATTTGAGTTTTTTTTACTTGGTTGAAAACATTTTGACTTCTCAAATGAGAACTTGTTGACTAAGATTTTGTGCTCGGAAACATCCATCCGAGAATGTTTTATTTGGATGAGAACATGAGGCCAAGATTTTATACTTGGTAAATCCATTTGAAAGAATTTTTACTTGGATGAAAATATGTTGGTCAAGATTTTATACTTAGAAAAATTTATGGGAGTTTTTACTCAAATGAGAACATGTTAACTTATTGGATGAGAACTTCCCAACAAAAATTTTATACTTAGAAACATCCATTTGAGAATGTTTTACTCGAATACGATCATGTTGGTCAAGATTTTATACTTGTATCCATTGGAGGATATGTCGGTTTCTTGGGTGGAAACTTGTTGTGCATGATTTTATACTTTGGTAACATTTATTTGAAAACATTTACTCAAATGAAAACATGTTGGCTTTTCGGATGGCTTGTTGGCCAATATTTTATACTTTAAAACATTCATCCAAGAGCATTTACTAGGATGAGAACAAGTCTATAGCTTAGATGGGAGCTTCTTAGCCAAAATTTTATACTTTGGAAAATCCATCTGAGTTTTTTTTACTTGGATGAGAACATGTTGGCTTCAAATGGAAGCTTGTCAACCAATTTTATTCTTGAAAATATCCATCCGAGAATGTTTTATTTATGTGAGAACATATCAACCAAGTTTTTATATTTGATAAATCTATTTGAGAGAATTTTTATATAGATGAGAACATGTTGGCTTCTTAGAAGGGAACTTGTCAGCAAAAAAAATTTAATTGGAAAATTCATCCAAAAGAATTTACTCGGATGAAAACATGTTGGTTTCTTGGATGAGAACTTGTTGGTCAAGATTTTATACTTGATAAATCAATTTGAGAGAAATTTTACTTGCACGATAATATGTTTGCTTCTCGGATGAAAAATTATCAACCAAGATTTTATACTTGAAAACATCTATTCGACAATGTTTTACTTGGATGAGAACATGTCGTCCAAGATTTTATACTTGCTAAATCCATCTAAGAGAATTTTTACACGGATAAGAACATGTTGGCTTCTTGGATGGAAACTAATCTACCAATATTTTATACTTCTACCATGCTGGCTTCTGAAATCCGTGGATGCCATAGACTCAATGATGGTAATAGCCTCTTCAACGGTTCTAAACATAACTGATCCTCCAAAGGAAGCATCCAGTATCATCTTGGTTTGAGACTGTAAACCATTACAAAAAGTCTGAACTTGCAACTCCACCTCAAATCCATGGTTAAGGCATCTCCTCAACAATGATTTGCACCTCTCCCATGCTTCACATAAAGTCTCATCCACACCTTGAGCAAAAGTAGTAATGAAGGTTCTGGCTTCAATGTTCTTGGATGGGGGAAAGAACCTACCTAAGAATTTAGTCTCCACATCCCTCCAAGTGGTTAGGCTTTGGTTTGGTTAAGAGTGAAGCCAAGCCTTAGCCTCCTCATTCAAAGATAAAGGAAACAACCTCATAAAAAGTGCCTCCTCATCAACCCCATAA